AAATGATTTCGGACAGGATCAGAGTTTGTTGGTGAGTTTTGGAAGGTTCTTCCAGCAGCCGTCAAAGTCATTATGGAGAATGGTGATGATCATGGAAAGAATGTTGTTTCTAGACTAGTGAGGATCTTTACCTTCTTAATTACTGGAGAAAGTTGCTGCAAGTATGCTTGACCTGCTCATATAATATTGCTTCTACGCTTGTAGTTTATTTTACTATAAAGTTACTTATAAATTGGTGCTGCTTCGGCCACTGAAATTTACCATCGAATGCAAGTTCTGTGAGGCTAATTGCCTTTTGAGATCTCCTCTCATGTATTGCCTTTGCTACAAATTCTATTTGTCCTTTAATTATGATGTCCTTCTTTCCTTTTCTTGGAGAATTTGAGAAGTTGCTGGATGGTTGCTTGTGTGTACCTGCCTGGCTGTTAAAGGTTTTACAGAAAGACACCTATTAATTGTAGTTGTAATTGTCTGCAGGCCAGCACATAATGAGTGTTGAATTTGTTGATAGCTGTTGTGGAACTTGTAAAATTGTTCTGCAGCTTTGAGAACCTATAGTTACCATGTATGGATAAGTTAACAACATAATCACGCCTCCTAGAATCCAACTGTACCAGCACGATTCATGTTTGGCATATAAGCACATCCTCTTGTTTTTTCCTTCTCTTTGCGTAGGTATATAATTTTAAATCTTGGACGTGTTCATATAAGCACATCCTCTTGTTTTTTCCTTCTCTTTGCGTAGGTATATAATTTTAAATCTTGGACGTGTTATTTTCTGATGCGTTAAGATCTGCATATGCTATTGCTCATAAATTAGGGGTTGATAGTTGTTGGTATAATTTACATGCTTATCCTTTTGATAGACATAGTTTCACATACTTCCATCAAAAGTTCCTTCTGAAGCATCTGTAACTTTTGTTGGTGTGTTAGACACAATTCTTCTCATATGTGTATGTTTCACAAAACTGATAAAACAGTTACCTACCTGCTCTTAGGTAAGTAAGCATCTAGTATTTCGCTGCAAGTCAATTATTTCCCATTGTAGTGGGAAGCCTTACCTGACTAGCACATTTACCTTGAAAAAAAAATACTAACTCTTGATTTTACCTATTGCTTAATATTTTTAGGTTAATATTTGGGAAGAAAGAAGAGTTTTTGGATCTCGTGCACGAGGCCTTAAGGATCTAATATTTTTAGGTTAATATTTGGGAAGAAAGAAGAGTTTTTGGATCTCGTGCACGAGGCCTTAAGGATCTAATTCTTGGTTCTGAACCTCTCCCTGCATTGGAATTGAATAAAAAGCACTCACGTTCTGGTTCTGTAAAGATCATGAGAAGAGATTCGCGCTCTATGAAAACAGTAAGAATTCAATCTTCAATTTCTCCTTTCTGCTTAGTATTTGTTGAGCTCTCACACAGGCTTGAAGAAAGTGCTTGATCAATGTTTCTCAACTTAAACCAGAAATTGTCTATTGGAGGAACAGCTGAAAAGATCGTCTCTGCACTTCATACCGTGCTGAGCAAACACCCAGACGAGGATACAGACCTGGACAAGTGCAAGAATGCAGTGCGTCGTCTAGAAAAGATGGAGAAGGATGTTGAAGTAGCTTGTGCTCGAGGTAGCAAGAATATTTTACTATTGTCTAGGATTGTTAAAATCTATCTGGTATCTATGAATATTTTACTATAGTGCTAGGAGGTAATTTAATTTACACTCTAATTACATGTTTGCATTTTACCGCCTAGTTCACAAGTTTAAGGTATAATGACAAAAAAACTTACTAACATTCATTTGCCTAATATAAAAGCCTTCCTGCCTTTCAAAAGTTGAAGGCCCCTCTGGTGTTTTACCTTTTCATGATGGGAGGATTGTCTTTGAGTTTGAACTTGCATTGTTTGATAGTAATAAGTACATCAACTTATTGTTTGTAATTTAATGTTTATCGAGTATGATATTATAGTTCTTATCACTGAAGTCTGTTCCATGTACAAAGTTACTTATATCACTAATATATGCATCTTTTCTTTTTGTGTGTGTATGAAATTTTTTTCTAGTTTTGATTTATATACAGATTTACAATAAGCATGCCTTCAAGTTATTTCTCTATTTGGAAGTATTCAGTAAATTTCACAAGATTAGAACACAAAGCCACATGGTTCTGGGACCAACTTAACATTACGATGATTAGTCACTTCCATCATTTCTGATGATTAGTCACTTCCATCATTTCTGATGATTAGTCTTAAGAAAAGAACTATGATACGACGAGTGGTAGTTTCATTTTGCTTCTAAAAGAATGTTAAGATTTTATTTTGTAGGTTTTTGATGTTTATATTCTACTTACTTGAATTTTTTTAATTAATTTTAAGGGATGAAGGAAGCGAGATTGATGTTTTGATGGGCTCACCAAAGTCAAAAACCAAGGACTTCAGCATATTTATCTCTCTCTCTCTCTCTCTCTCTCTCTCTCTCTCTCTCTCTCTCTCTCTGGTTAAGATTTTCTATATGAAATTGATTGTAGTAGACTTTGTTGGTTAAGATCTTCTATATGAAATTGATTGTTAAGATCTTCTATATGAAATTAATTGTAATGGACTTTGTTGGTTAAGATTTTCTATATTAAATTGATTGTAATAGACTTTGTGACTAGAAATGGATTATACTTTATATTAGGAATATCATGACATTTATTTTAGATTTGTTTTGGTTCTTTCATTGACCTTTTTCTGTAAATATTATGTGTGAGAAATGTTGTTTTTTAATTAGTGGAATTGTGGTTGTGCTTCTGCTTGTTAATATTATGTGTGAGAATTGTTCTTTAATTAGTGGAATTATGGTTGTGCTTTTGCTTGTTAATTATTTTTTATAAATTATTTAAAATCTAAATCTAATTTCAAAAAGTATGAATTAATTTATATTGTGATAATTTTCTTCCTTTTTTACTTAGAAAGGTAACCAAACAAGAGAAAATGATTTTCTTATGAATTTTCTTCTAAATTTCCTTACAATATTCTTTCTAACCAAACAATAAAAGGATTATCATTTTCTTTTCTTTTTCTTTTCCTTTCTTTTTACTTTCTCTTTCTTTTTCTTTTCTCTTCCTTTCTCTCAAACCAAACATAGCCTAAAAGTTAACAAATGATTCCTCCCCCTCAGCAATTGCATTTCAACAGAATATAGGGAGCCAACCACGGTGAATAATTGCTCTCCACCATCATCTTTTGTTCTGGTTCGGAGCGGCGAGTTTATGCGGATTGTGAACGGAAGGAGATCGTCACGCAAGTTATCTCTGTATCAAGATGTTGAAGACATCAACACTATTTGCAAGTCTTTGACGAATGTTGGGTGAAGGTGTGCACGGTTTATATATGTGTTTGCTTCGGCATCTTACATTGCACGCTGATATTGGAATATCAAGATTGGAGGATCTTTTAACAATTTCAATGAGTATAGGGACTAATATGCTAATATATAAAAAGAACCCGAAAAATAAAAGAAGTATCTTTTAAGAATTTCAACGATCACATGTTGAACAATTTTTCAAAACAGCCCTATTTAATTTTTTTTTATTTTTAAAATCGACCGATTTTTTTTATTTATCAAAACCGATCCGTTTTTTGCCTTGTCAGCCTAATCACCTTCCTAAATAGTCGGTGTTGCCAACCCCGACTATTTAGTAATGCGTTAAACCACAATTAGAAACATTAAACCCTAAAATTTTATGTCCTAAATAGTCAGGATTGGCAACCCCGACTATTTAGGACGGTGATTAGACTGACGTGACAAAAAATATGTCAGTTTTGATAAATAAAAAAATCGGTTAATTTTAAAAATAAAAAAAATAAAATGAGACTGTTTTGAAAAATTGTTCATCACAGGTTCATATGAGCTATTTCAAAGATGCGAGGAACAAATATGAATATTATTGCACATTTAAAAGGAGCCCAAAATCATAATAATCGGCCTATATAATGGGCCTGTAAAGCCAAAGCCCATGCTCAAGTATAGGATTAGCTTCAAATTTCCAACCTCACGTGCATGGCACCTGCCCCACGAGGCAATAAAACACACCCGAGTCCTACATGGATCTTCCCGACTGCTAGGGCTACCGCCTTAAAGCCTCTTCGTCCGTTTTCTCCCCCAAAATAAAAATCAAATTTTGGAAAACAAAACCCTAACCCTAGCCGATCTCCCCCAAAAACCCTAGCGGAAATGTCGATGTCGAAGGGATCCAAGATGCTTCAGTACATAAATTACCGCATGCGCGTCACGATCAAGACTGGCGCCAGCTTGTCGAAAGTTCATGCGCCTTCGACCGCCACATGACTCGTCCTCGGGCGACTGCGCAGGAGTTCGAAAGCTTCCCCCTTCGTAGAAATCCGAACCCTACCCTAATTCGCCGCCAAACCAACGAGGACGCGCGAGACCGCCGAACCTTGGCTCGATCCTCCTCCGGCGCGAGATGGTTGCGTGTCGATGCACCTGTCGAGGGCCCACTTCCCCCGCACGACTCCCGCGCCAAGCTCATGCTACCGCCGCCGCGGGCCCCGGTATAGCGTCGCGCGCCGCCGCGATCCCACCGCTCTTCTCGTCCCCTAGGGCCGCAGCCTTGGCCTTCTCTGGACCTGTACCCGGCTGCTAGCGTGGTGGCCGCCTCCTGCGATGAGTGCAGCTCTTCACATCTCCCGCCCTCCGGTGCCCTCGGTGGCAGCTCCTGCCAGTGTGTCCTACCCACCGGTACATGCGTCCACCTTCAGATGCCAGGATTCCCAGGGCAGCCAATGCAGAGTGGGCCGCCTGGGCCGATGCAGATTGCAGTTTGGCGGGAGGCCTAGGTGGGCCGCCGCCGCCAGGCCGATACTCCGGTTGCCGCCGCAATTTGGGGGGAGGCCGATGGGCCACACCACGCAGGACGATGCATGAGGCCCTGGGAATGCCGCCACCGCCCGGGCCAGGCTGGATGCCGCCCCGCCGCCCACCAATGACCTGCCGAATGCCGGCCCCGCCGCCGGGTGGGCAGGTGCCGGTGTTTGCACCGCCTAGGCCTGGGATGCCGCCTCCGCCTCCACAGCAGGGGCAGAACCAGCAGCAGCAACAGTAGGGGATTCTTTTGTAAGTAGTTTCTTTCAGATTTTGCAATACTGTTAAGATTTTGAGTCTTTCGATTGTTGGATGTGTTGAGCATGCTACTGCAATGAAAACCTTTGATTAGGATTTGAGTGCCTTAGGTTGAATCGAGTTGCCCAAAGGTCTTATAAGGAAGTTACTCACTTTGTTCAAGTGTTATAATTTGACTTCATATTTGTTCTTGTCCATATGTACTGCTTTGGTAGTTCCTTTAATCCTTCATATTACTGTTTTAGTTCAGTAACTATTTTAGAATCTTTGGCGTGTTCAATATTTTTGATTTGCTATTTCATAAAGTGGAGATTTGAGTAGTAATTTGGAGTGTTTAGGATGAAGTGGAGTTTGAACTTAGTTCATTTTAGCAACTTAGTTCATAGTGCTAATATGACTCAATAGTTTTTTTAGTCAAACATAATAAACTAGCCTTGCGTGTGCTATTTTTGTAGATAGTTTATATGATACCTGCATACTTCTGTGATGAATTTGTACCAGTACCCCCGTACCCGACACTTCCTGCACTCGTACTTGTACCCATCACTTCTTGGGCACTCTTTAAGCATATGCATTCATTTATTTAGACATGTTACGCAATACATGTTTTAGTATAAAGTTTAATTACTTGTCACACATTCCTTGGATATATATCCTACAAATCACATCCATTTTTGAAAATTTTCCAACCCATATTCAGTTAAGAAGTATGATTTCAAAGGGTTGTATGTGTGTCTAACTCAGAACAATGATCACTGCTTATGTGTTTTAGCCATGTCCCGAGACTGCCTCTTGCAAATTTGCCGTGTTCCGTACGCGAACCCATACCTATGCAACTTAGGTGCAAGTCTTAGGAACTTATTCCTACATGGTTGTCCGCTGCTTGTTTTTTTTATGTTATAGGAGGAAAAAAGCTTATGAACCATATGCATTTTCTGAAAGAAAGCTGAGTTTTGTGTGTAATGCTGCTCACTGGCTCCTTGGCAACTCTCAAAACTGGGGAGAAATTGTTCAAAATCAAGATTAGATGTTTATTTTTGTTTCACGCAAATGAAGGCCTATTCCTTCTGTTAGTTTTCTGATTTCTGTGACCTCGGAAGGCTTTTTGGCGGTTGCCCTTTCAAAATTTTGCTCAAGAGGTTGCACACTTTCCAGCAAGCAACCAAAAGCCAAAAATTCTTTAAGTAGTGCCTCGTAGTCTTTGTTGGCAAGGAATTTGTTTATGCCAAGAAAAGTTCATCTTGGTACAGACAAATTAGCATACCTTGCTACAGTTAAATGTTGTTGAGCATGGACTGTTTTATGTGCAAAATTGCCATTATTGCTGGCTTGATGTCCCTTGTTAAGAATTATATACATGTTGCAGAAGAATAACAAGACTCATCAACCACCATACAACTTGGTTGTTTGCCAGTGTTATCATTTTGATGTTTATATTCAGTTAAGAGTTTTTTCATGAGTAACTCAAGTGGTTGAAATGAATTTACCTCTTTTGTTGGGAAACTTATGGCCTCAAACAAATATATAAAAATACATTTTTAATGCTTATTAGAAATATTACTTTTAAATTTCTCTAGATCTATAAGGTGGATATTGCATTTTGTAGTTGTTTTTATGGACATCTAAGGTCGATCATTTTCAAACTCTCTCTACAGAGTAAATTCATCTAAGATGGTAATTAATCTGTCTTTTGTCATAGGTGTTCTAACAATCAAATTTCTTTTTAGCTTTTAAATGTATATGTGCTGTTATTGGTACTTAAGCGTTGATTTTTATTCGACTTGAAGAAACCATGCATTGCTTGCTCATGCACGCTCTTTAGTTTCTAAAAGTTGTGGTTCTATCCACGAGTTCTCTTGTTTGTACACGAATTGGTGGAAAATGGACAAGCATCTATCTGGATATTTAAAAACTGAATGAACGGTAAGGGACAATGTTCAACTTACGTTTTTCACTTCCTTGAAATCTTCATATGCTTTTAACTATTAAATGAGAATGGCAAAGAAATTTGAATCGTGAAGTGATAAATATTGATCTCTGTACCCCAGACAACATTAGGAATGATACATGAAGTTTATTGAATGATTGGTGATCTTTAAATATGAAAGTGAAAGTAATCAACTAGACCATAAAGCAAATCACATCATTTTGGTTGTCATTTTTGTGGTAATAAACAAATGGTACTTTATGTAGTAGAGAAATGGGAATGAAGCTTAATAAAAAAAAATTATTTGGACTATCGTTCAAGATTGTGTTAAAGCGACAAAGACATGTATGGAGATATTTAACATGTAAATGAGAAGGCGGAATCTAGAGCCAGCTTAAAGGAAAGATTTTGCACTCTTGGCCTTTTGGAAAGATTTTGTACTCTTGGCAGTGGTTTCATTGACTGGGAATTGGGAGACAGCGTAGAGGGAGTAGTTTCTCTTGAGACCTGACTTGAGATTGTTCGTTTTGCTTCGGTGGTTCTTCTTGATATGAATGTGTTTTTTTTAGCCGAATCACCCTTTCTCATGGTTTAGAATGCTGCAGGTTTCTGGTAGAACCTTTAATATTAACTCATAAATGTATTACTTTCTAGCTGAATTAAGGAAAGCTATTTTTGAATGTCTAGGCTGTTGTAATGTAGCTTGGTATGTGCAAACTTTGTTATTAAGATTCAACATTTGTGCCCGCCTTTCGGTAGCCTGGAAATTTGATTTATTAATTTGCATTCAGTCCTAATTTAACATTTGCTAGTTAGGGTCAGCATCTTGAGTTATCCGCATTGAGTGGGAATCTGTAACCGTCTCAGTTAATCGACAAAGCATGGAGATTTTAGGACTGTCTGTGAATTGGTGCCTGGGAAGGCATGCTCATCTAATCATGTCATGATTGTTCCATCCGTTTCATTTCTACAAGAAAAAAACCTATGGTTATGTTTGTAGCACGGCAATTTGATAAATGAATTGTTTGGTATAAGTCTTGAAGCGTTTCTATTTTCATGTACAGTCTCTATGAGTTCCATGATATGCGATTTGGACTTTGGAGATTCTCTTGTTATGTACTGCAATATTTGAAGTTGGTGCAATTCAATTGTGTGAAAAAAAATCAGTAGGGTGAATAAGATCTTTAACTAGCTCATGAATGAAAAAAAAATATTGTTAATTAGACTACACATACTTGCTCAAGGGATTGATTGATTTGGTTGGGTGTTCGTTTTCATTCAATTGGGACATTTAGGATATAAATAAGTTCCGGTCAATGAAGAACTACCCTATGTTATTTCTGTTGCCTTGTCCTATCATGTTTCTGTGGTTTTTGTCTTGTTAATTTGTTATAAATCATGAACGACTTTTATACATTTGACATGATTATTACTACTAACATTTATGGCTTTGCTAAAGTTTGCCTATTGATCAATGAGACAGTGGACATGTCAAATTGCATAGCTTGTTTAAATATTTAATTATGCAAGGATGTGGATTAGGATCTTGCTGCTGCTTGCATATCTTTCACTACCTTAAATTATTTGCCTTATGTAGTGCCTATTTTTATCTTTTTTTATATGAAGTCATGTTGTCTCTTTTTCATTGCTTTCAACATTGCTCTTTCCATGTCATTTCCTGGGGCTTAGATTTTGCTTTTTTTTATTTTAAATATGTAACTTAATGATGTTGAATGAGTTCGTTTGTCACTTCAACACCAGTTTCCTTGTCTTGCCTCCTTTGTTCCTCTTTATACTTATGTTTATGCCTTAGTTGTATCCTATCGATATGGAGATCTGTTATGCCCACTGCCCAGAGCAATGTTCTGTTTAGCTTTTGGTATCTAAATCAAATTAGTCATAAAATATGCAGGCTTTGTAGCGGCTGTGGCAGTCTTTTAAGGGATTTCAATTTACATTCCCTAACTTGTCAGATATAACTATTCTTAGAACATCACTGGTTATTTATATTGCTTCTTGTGTGATCAAGGTTCCTTGAATTCAATGTGTTTGGTTTAGAATTTGATGAAAAAGCAATTGGTAACTGAACTTTCAATTAGAGTACAATGTTTTATTTTAATTGATAATCGAACTTTCTAAGTGGAGGACACATGTGGGAAAAAATTGGACGGAGAGTTAACTATCCTAAAATGTGGAGATTAGTAGACTAAGTAAAGTGCTAAATACCACATTCAGGGTTGATAATTTGCAGTGAACAATAATACAGAGGGGCTATCAATGCAATTAACAATTTATTAAATCAATTTGTAAACATTCTAGCAGTCATATTGATGTAATTAGAAACATATATGATGGCCCAGGTAGTAAGTAGTGTGAAATGGGGATAGTTTTGAGACTTTCATTCCTTACAATTGTAGTAGGTCTTTTAGGATAGGAAGGATTAACAATGTGTTGGATTTATAAAAGAAACAACAATTATTAGTTATGTGGGGGGCATTTACAAACATGTGTGATGGATTGAGTATTAACCTCTACGGTTTCATTGATTAGAAAAAGTTAAAAACGTTACAATGAGGGCCTAAAAGATACGAAAAAATACATATGTAGATATTCATCATGAAAGAAAATTAGGAATAGACATTGTGGGTTAGTAATTTGTATCAGCATCGATGAGTGGGAGTTGGACACAAATGCATTCCTTGTTATTTTAGATGTTCTCAAGGCCCAAAATTAGGCTTAGGGATGGAATCGGTTGAAGATTGAGGTATTCATATTTGAGTTAATCTGAAATTTTTGAATCCGTATTTGAATTCAAATTTGAATCTGTTTATGGATTCAGATGCTCCTTCGGAAATTAAATACTCTCTTTACATGCTGAAATTCATGTGTATTTGATTTGGTTCAGATAGTTAATAAATTATTCAGTTAAATAGTTCCCTTAATATCATCTGAAATTTCAGTCTTATTGGCTAGTGGTGTTCTTGTCTTTCGCAGAATTTGAATTCTCATTTATAAAGATCATCGCATAACAAACTTCAACCATAGATCATTTGTTGTACACACATTAAACAAATAAATATGTTCTTACTATTGTAGTAATGACTATTATGAATCAAATGCACATTGTGCAGTGGGTTACTTGTAGCCTTTAATCCAAATGGAGAAAAACCTAGTAGACAAGGTAAAGGAAATTGCAAGACATGTTGTAGATGCTTGTTCTTTTTAAGTCGTTCCATTCTCTGTTTCTAAGCTCAGACATTCGGAATAGGATTCATTGATCTGTCGATGACATAGCCCTTATCTTAATTAGTGAATGAAAGACTAGGATTGATGTAGCTGATTCCAATTTCAGTATAAAGCCTTTGTTGTTGTCTGCACATCTGTTGGGATACATGTTGGGATACATGTCAGCTTGTAAATGTGAATATTTCTTGTGGAGTTATGATAATAAGCATACTTGTCAGCTTGTAAATGTTGTCTGCACATTTGTTTGGTTGGGGCTGTAATGTGTGTGAAGCTACTGTAGCTGTGAGGCTACATCAGTATCATCAAATACTGTATTTGTTTGGGTGAAATGGGGGCTGATGTGGCTGCAAAAAATCTGAGGTGGCAGCCTCTTAATTCCTAGCAAAAGGCTCTAAACATTCTCTTGCTGCATTCCACTGAATAAATAACCATATTTTTAAGTGTGTGTGTATATCCCACTCGTATGCGTTATTCATATCCTTATTATTGTTATCCTACATTTTATGTGATTATTCCATTTCATGCTTTATAAACATTGATGGGATATATGCCATTTTAATCCCACTTTTTTTACCTAAAATATCACAAGCTTTCATTTAAGAGTTTAACATATTCCAACTTGTGACCAGGTTTGGTGACGGTGCGGATGGCTTTGGAGTTGATTGCAAGCAATGAGGAATATTCTAGCCTGTTTCTGATACTGTGGACTGTTGGATGTTGTTAGGACGTTGGTCCATTTCTTGAGTTGGGCACTTTTTAGACATTTTATGACATATTTAGCATGTTGGAGCTTGAATTTTTAATTACAGTTAACTAGTTTCGACCTGCTGCTGTTCTTTAGTGTTCTGACTTGTGAACAATCTTAGTACTACTATATTTCGTGTTAAAAGTGTTTTACTTGGTTCTCAAATCTTTACTTTTCTTATGTGAATCAAATGCTATGTGTTGCGGGGGAGCATTTATCTTCAGGGTTTTACTATCGCCAAACTGAACATGCTGCTTGTTATATTGTTGCTGGTAGACCCCCTGAAAGGGGTTAGAAAATTCTCTCGGGGTTCTATCTGCAACAATAAAACTACAGGACGATATTATAGCGGTCTATATGCAACTAACGCTTTATTTTTAGGGACGCTTCTGTTGCAGATCGGATTGTTGGGAGTGAATGTTATCTGATTGTGTTGTGAGAAGAGGGTTTTCTTGCCCACACGAAGTATGATTCTTTCAGGCATCTCAGATATTCTAATATATGTGATTTATTCTCATCTTTATGTTTGTCTGTATTTACTGTATTCTTCTTTGTGAATGCGACTAACCCTAGTTTTTTTTTCTTTTTCTTCGACTATATATATAAAGTATTCCATAATAAAAACTCTATACATAAAGATGAGCTAGATATGAGCAATATATAAGCCATCTGATCCGAAGCTGTCAGCTTCTTTGACTGTGCTGAAACTGGTATTGGACTTATCAAAAGAAATAACAATTTTTTTTAAGTAATTCGTTTTCTCAATCAACAATTCAGAGTGAACCTCATGGCTAATGTCAATCTTCAACGGACTCCCGCTATGAGATCTATGACATTGTATTTACTGAGAGGAACCTTATGTATTTATTATTTATCCTTTAGATTATCAACGTATCATAGAAGTATGGTTAAATTATCTTTAAAACCACTCCTGATCGTTTCACTAATTAAGTAAAACCCTAAATAAATATTTCTTGGACTATTAATCTTTCTGTTACAATCATAAGTATATGTTTCACATTTAAATTAAAACTCTAATTTTTGGTACTGAAATATTCAATCCTCTTTTTTTATCAATATTTTACGCTATATGTAAGAATTTCTTCTTTTGCCTTATTTTATTCATCATTTTGTTTCTCTCCTTATTATTGTACACATATTCAGCTCCTTTTCCAGTGTTTTCTGCAATTTGTCAAATTCTTATGTCTTCTCTTTTGGGGAAAATGTGTCCAGGCCCCAAAAACAGAAACTTCATGTGCTGCAGCCCCTCTTAGTTTCCCCCCATGTGGTTCAGCCCCTTGAAGTGTGACATTTTGTGCTGCAGCCCATTTTTAACAATTATTACATGTCAGCTAAGTTAAAATCCCCAAAATAACCTTATCTCCTCTTCTCAATCCTTCAAACCCAGTTCTCTCTCTCTCTCTCTCTCTCTCTCTCTCTCTCTCTCTCTCTCCCTAAAAACAAGGGCTTTCTCAAGCTCATCGCCCTGGCCCTCGCCCTCCTCGTCGTCGCCACCAGGCACAAGGCCACTCTTTTTTTTTTGGAATTTGATGAGAAGCCATTGCTTGTTAAGGAGATTGTTAGTCAAGATGGCGAAGAGATGCCTGTTGGGTTTGAAATTTTAAGAGCTGATCTTGGTGCTGGAGCTGAGGAAGGAGATGGCGAAGCTTTTTTTTTGATAAATTTGATGTTGGTATTCTTATCTTTGCTTGGATTTTGTCATGGAGTATTCTCCCTGAAGAAATGTTGAATGCCTTAACTTGCAGGAATTTGATGCTAAAATTTGATGTTGGTATTCTTATCTTCGCTTGGATTTCGTGTTCGTGTTAGTTCTAACTCAGTTCATGTTAGCTCTAAATAGTTAGTTCTAATTTAGAACTAACAAGAACTGAGTTAGAACTAACAGGAACTGAGTTAGAACTAACAGGAACTGAGTTAGAACTAACATAAACCCAATTAGACCTAACATGAGTTAGAACTAATTGGAAAGCTGGAGTCGTGCTCAAGCCGTGAAATCCTTGCTGTGTTGTTAACAACGTCGACACGATCACTGAAATCACCATATTCTTTCGATAATTAATTCACTAATCAATGCATAATGCGTATTTGGGAGTTTGCAGCATCTGCAGAACAATCTTGTGATTTGTTGTAATTATTTGTTGTTAGGTACTTGTTTAGTTGGAGCCCACGGTACCCAAATGAGAGAGGCGCACGGAGAGTGGTTAAAATTAGAACTAATGGGGTTAAAATTAGAACTAACTTGTTATAACATAAAACTAACTTAGTATAAAATAGAACTAACTTGGTATAAAATAAAACTAACGTGGTATAAAATAGAACTAACTTAGTATAAAAATAGAACTAACTCTGTAGCATGTTAGTTCTAATTTACACAGTGTTAGTTCTATTCTGTAGCGTGTTAGTTCTAATCTGCACAGTGTTATATCTATTCTGTAGCGTGTTAGTTCTAATCTGCACAGTGTTAGTTCTATTCTGTAGCGTGTTAGTTCTAATCTGCACAGTGTTAGTTCTATTCTATAGCGTGTTAGTTCTAATCTGCACAGTGTTAGTTCTATTCTGTAGCAAGTTAGTTCTAATTTATACCACGTTAGTTCTATTTTATACTGCGTTAGTTCTAATTTATACCACGTTAGTTCTAATTTATACCACGTTAGTTCTAATTTATACCAAGTTAATTCTAATTTATACCACGTTAGTTCTATTTTATACCGTGTTAGTTCTAATTTATACCAAATTAGTTCTATTTTATACCACGTTAGTTCTAATTTTAATCATATTAGTTCTAATTTATAACAAGTTAGTTCTAATTTATAACAAATTAGTACTAATTTTAACCACGTTAGTTCTAATTTATACCACATTAGTTCTAATTTATACCAAGTTAGTTCTAATTCATACAATGTTAGTTCTATTTTATACCAAGTTAGTTCTATTTTATACCACGTTGGTTCTAATTTTAATCATATTAGTTCTAATTTATAACAAGTTAGTTCTAATTTATAACAAATTAGTTCTAATTTTAACCACGTTAGTTCTAATTTATACCACGTTAGTTCTAATTTATACCAAGTTAGTTCTAATTTATACAATGATAGTTACGAAATGGCACAAGAAAGCTTTCTGCAGATGTTACAAACTCCCAAATGCGCATTATGCATTGATTAGTGAATTAATTATCGAAAGAATATAGTGATTTCAGTGATCGTGTCGACGTTGTTAACAACACGACAAGGATTTGCAAGGAGCGAAGAGAGAAACAACCGTGATACAGCAGGATTTGGGCGTCGGTTTTTGGTATAATGCTCCATCGGTTTGGATACCTATTATACGGGTTATGGAGCCAACTTATATGAAAATCAAATTATTTCGTAACTATCATTGTATAAATTAGAACTAACTTGGTATAAAATAAAACTAACATTGTATAAATTAAAACGAACTTGGTATAAATTAGAACTAACGTGGTATAAATTAGAACTAACGTGGTATAAATTAGAACTAACTTGGTATAAATTAGAACTAACGTGGTATAAAATAGAACTAACGTGGTATAAAATAGAACTAATGTGGTATAAATTAGAACTAACTTGGTATAAATTAGAACTAACGCGGTATAAAATAGAACTAACACGTTACAGAATAGAACTAACACTGTGCAGATTAGAACTAACACGCTACAGAATAGAACTAGCACTGTGCAGATTAGAACTAACACGCTACAGAATAGAACTAATACTATACAGATTAGAACTAACACGCTACAGAATAGGACTAACACTGTGCAGATTAGAACTAACACGCTACAGAATAGAACTAACACTGTGTAGATTAGAAATAACATGCTACAGAGTTAGTTCTATTTTTATACTAAGTTAGTTCTATTTTATACCACGTTAGTTCTATTTTATACCAAGTTAGTTCTATTTTATACTAAGTTAGTTTTATGTTATAACAAGTTAGTTCTAATTTTAACCCCATTAGTTCTAATTTTAACCACTCTCCGTGCGCCTCTCTCATTTGGGTACCGTGGGCTCCAACCAAACAAGTACCTAACAACAAATAATTACAACAAATCACAAGATTGTGATAGTTACGGAATGGCACAAGAAAGCTTTCTGCAGATGCTGCAAACTCCCAAATGCGCATTATGCATTGATTAGTGAATTAATTATCGAAAGAATATGGTGATTTCAGTGATCGTGTTGACGTTGTTAACAACACGGCAAGGATACGACCAAAATTAGTGAAGGGATCAGTTGACCGTCATTAATGTGTATGTAATAACGACGGGTTTTAAAACCTTCGTCGAGTGATTATAAATATTAGTAGAATGATGTGAGATGAGATAACGGTTTTCTAATCCCTTCATTAATTTGATACTAATACTGTCGTTATTGGGTCTCCTTAAAGACGAAGGGATCCATTACCTTCATTGATGATACTCCTAATCATAATAGGATTGATAGTTTAACCTATTACTATTAATTAACAAGACCCACAATCACAATCCCCAAAGCCCTAAGTATAACCCAAAATTCAAAATCGCCCATAACTACTCCTAATCATCCCTCTAAACGCCCGCCGCAATAATAATTAAACCCTAGTTTGACAAAAATATCGCCTACTGTTCATCGTTCTTTATCAAACTCTTTTGTAATTTCTTCGTCGCCTTCATCTTGCCGACACCCGCGAGCCTCCTCTGCTCCAACGTCCCCGTCCCAACGTCGCCTGTCGCCCCAGCGTTGCCAGCCGACCCATCTTCGCTCGTCATTGCCTTACACTACAACAAATTGCACTTTTCCCGATGCTTATTCCCGACGCATGGTTAAATATGTCGCCAAAAAGTATGTTTTTCCCGACGATTTTAGTTAGCGTCGGCAAAACATATATTTTCCCCCACGTTTATAATTAGCGTCGCTAAAAGTGTATATTATTTGCGACGTTTTAATTTAGCGTCGGTAAAAGTGTATGGATTTCCCGACGTTTTTTGTATTTTCGTCGGCAAAAGTATAGCTTTTAGCGACGCACAAATATTCGTCGTAAAAAGTATACATTTGGCGACGCACGTTAGCGT